GCCACTAACACTGCGAAAACTCCCTCGCATGGAATCAGTCTCGACTAAAACCCCCCATATATAACGTTAATCATCACCAAACATAAAATTAATAGCAATAAACCAAACCGAATTAACAGCCATCATTAGTACACGACGAAAACTCTACTGATATACGAAAGTGGCGCGAAGAAAACCACTAAAAGTAACAATAAACGTTAATCGCAAATAGCGTAACGCTAAACCCATATCGAGTGTTCAACGACAAAAACTGCACTTGTAGCAAGCGAGTTAAATAAAAGCTCGAGAAAATAGCGAAAACAAAATATCAGCAACAGTAAAACGTTTTCGTCGTTCAATGCTAAACTCATTTCTTGGATGACCCTGCAAAAACTCTCTTCGAATTTGGAGAGGCGACTATTCAAAGTAGCAAAAACCAATTCGGAAAAATGGACGTTAATCGCAAATAACGTAACGCTAAACTGATTTCGAGTGTTCAACGACAAAAACTCCACTTGTAGCAAGCGAGTTAAATAAAACCGCAGAACGTGTCCTGTTAAAGGCTAAACCCAGTTTGTGGTTTGCACGGCAAAAACTCTCTTGGTCACTGAAAAGCTGAATTTTCAACGTGACAAAAATTAATAAGGAAAAATAGTCGCTGACCGAAAACTCCATTCGCATCAGACGTTCAAAATTTTCAAATTAAAAAAAAACGACATAGGAATAGACACAAAGCGCAGCAAATAGCGTAACGGTAAACCCGCTCCGAGTGTGCAATAACGAAATCTCCATTTGCATCACAAAAACAGACAAGGAAAAAAATGAATTCGACAAACCAGGAGTAAAAATWGGCAGTAATCGCAAAATAAGGCAACGCTAAATCCATTGCGAGCGTTGCACGACGARAACTYCACTCGCATCAGACGATCCAAGTTTTCACTTTTCAGCAAGTAGCCACACAGAAATAGACACTAATCGCAAATAACGCAACGCTAACCCAATTGCAAGCGTTGCACGATGAAAACTCCACTCCCATCAGAAGACAGAAATTTTCAAATTTAAGCAAATAGCCACAAATAAATAGACACTAATCGCAAAAAACGCAACGCTTAATCCATTGCGTCCGTGGCACGACGAAAACTCCATTTAAATCGGAAGACCGAAATTTTCAAATTTAACCATGTAGCCGCAAAGAAAGAGACACTAATCGCAAATAACGCAACGCTAAATCCATTACGAGCGTTTCACGAYGAAAACTCCACTCCCTTCGACGAAAACTCCACTCCACTCCTTTCAGAAGACYGWAATYTTYAAACTAAAGCRGKTAGCGTTGCACAACAAAAACTCCACTCGCRTGAGACRATCGAAAATTTCCAAAATTCAAGCAAGTRGCCACAAAGAAATAGACACCAATCGCAAACTCAAACTCAAAACTCAACGCTAAACGMATTTCGTGCTCCACGAAAACTACACTCGCATCAAAAGATCGGAATTATTATTTTTTAATTCAGCATAAAATGAGTACCATGTCGACGGGTGTTTCTTTTTTAAATTGGAAACTTTTGAAGTTGAAAATTTGAAATTTTTTTGGAAATTTTTCCTATCGACATGATACTCATTTTCAGCTGAAATCGGCCCAGAAAACCGAATCTGTGATCAAAATTGCTGTCCATTCAACAGTTTTCGAAAAACTTGAAAATTTAGCCAAAAAACTGGCCAGTTTTAATCATCGACCCGCTAGATAATTTTAATGGCAATTTCCTGTTTTCCAGACGTCGACAGGCGTTTTTTTGAAACATTTGACAAATGTCCCAGAAAGAATTTGACAAAATTAAGCAAGAGGGGACAAAGAAATATATACCAATCGCAGCGAATAGCGTAACGTTAAACCGGTGCCTAGTGTGCAATAGCGAAAACTCCATTTGCATCACCAAATCAGAAGAGGGAAAATCCTGCAAATAAATCTCAACCTCATTAGACACACAAAAAAACACGATTCCCTGCGGAATGGCGAATGCGCCCCGGACAAAGTCCTTCACTTTCAACCCTCCTAGACGATCCCTATCGATTTGAAAGATTCGTTTTTTCGGCAAAAAACGGCAGTCGGTCAAAGCGCACTTGAAAAAATGACGAAACTACCAACAAAAAGAAAATTCTTGTCCGCTCTTAACTTTCCCCAGTCAAGTCAAAATGGTGAATGCGCCCAATATCAACCGATGCTCTCCTCGATTTGGCGAATGCGCCCAATGGTGTCCGGAAACACTCTTACCGGTATAATGTCCGTACTCGGCGTAGAATTTGAAAATCGTCGACCTGCTGGGCAGATGGCCGAAGCGCTGCATCTTCCTGATCACCTTCAGACACTCGACCGAAACGGTGTACTTGTAGCAGGGCAGCGCCTTTTCCAGATTGAGCACCCGCGTGATCTCCTCCAAAATCGACTTGGTGTCGGCGCTCAGATTGTCGGCCGTGATCGAACTGCCCTGCTGCACCGCCATCGAGACCACCGGCGTGATCGCATTGCCTGCAAGCCCCCACCCAATCAATCAATCAATCAGTCAGCCGGCCAAAACTCACCTAAAGCCTGCACGAGAGCGGCCCGATAATAATTGTCGGAAAAGCGATTCTTCGAATTGTCGTTGTACTTGAACAGCTCGAGCAGGAACCGCATGACGTCCTTCGGACAGATCCCGTGGGCGTTTCTGCAAGAAAACCCGCAGGAGTTTTAGCGGCGGAACGGCGCCAGACGGTGCCGCCACCTACCTGAGGCCGGACATCGCGAGCGGAATGTTTTTCTGCAGGAAATAGTGCTGGAAGTTCTGGAAGCTGTTTTGCTTGATGATGTGCGGTGCGGCGAACGAGCCGAAAAACTTGCGGAAAATCGTCAACATCGCGGGCGGCCCCGACCAATTAGCCACCATCGCATTGGCCACCTGAGGACGGACTGCGCGGGTCAAAACCCAGTGAAAAATATTTACTACTCACTTTGGTCAGACAATGGGCGGCTTTGCAGCGCACCTTATAGTAGCACTGCTCGTTTTCGATGGTGTCAGTCAGCGCCATTCGGGTAGCAGGCGTCGGGTACCTAAAACGAAAAAAAATAAGATTAATTTTTGCAAAGTCTTGAGAGCGCATTCGCCAAACTGTTGGGAAAAGTTTCCAGTTTTTCGAAAACCGTTGGACGAACCGCAATTTAAGTCACAGATTCGGTTTTCTGGGTCAATTTCAGCTGAAAATGAGCACCATGTCGACGGGGAAAATTTCCAAAAAAAATTCAAAATTCCGAAGTTTCTCGACGAATTTCATCCGAAAATATCGACAAAAAAAATAATAAAAAATCTAACCTTTCCAAAGCGTAAATGGCCTCGGTCTGAGCCGTGACGTCACGCTCATGCCTCAGCTGATACTGCCACTGATAGTCGGGCTGCTCGATCACCACTGACCTCAGCAGCGTCATTTCGGGATCCAACCTGATCCACAGCACTGGGGAATCACTGCAAAACAATCACCCGTTAGGTTCATCTCTTTTGCTCGCGCAAATCGCCGACTCACTCCATCGCACTCAGATCCATATCGACCTCCTCGCCAGTGCACAGCGGGATCTTCTTCTTCTTGTTGCGCCGGCTTTTCGAGTGGCACGTGATATCCGACTTGACAACCGTGTTCTCGATCTGGAGGTTATGTTTGAATGTGCCGTCGAGCTCCTGAAGGGTGACCAACAGCGGGCCGACATACTTGCGGATGCCCGTTTGCGACGTTGCATCCTGTCTAATCTCCAACTCGATCGTATTTCTGGGGAAATTGCCGATTTTCACTCGCATTCAGCGCTAAATTTCGCGCAATTTACTACTGACCTTTTGCGATTGAATACGGACGTTAGGTGGAATTTCGCGTGTCCGCCCGTGCGCACCCATTGGTCGATGAAAACGGCCATATCTTTGCCGGTCACCGTGAAAATCGCTTTCGTGAACACATTGGTGCTGATCAGCATGTGACCCCACAGGCCGCTACCTATTTTCTGCGCAGCCGCATTGGTGGCCAGCGACAGTTGCTTGTTGAACACCTACCAAAAAAACAGATAATTTCAAAGTTTCCCCCTTAAATTTTCCGAAGGCATTTTCGGGGTTTTGAAGCGATTTCAGCTGAAAACAAATCCCATGTTGATGGATGAAAAAAAATAAAAAATAGAAAATAACCCACTCGGTTTGAAGATGGTTTGTTCGAAACCTGTCCTAGACCCATCGACATGGTACTCATTTTATGCTGAAATCGCCCCAACAAGCCAAATCTGCTGTTGGAATCAACCTGCCGCAAGCCACGTTTGAAAAAGATGCAAATATTCGTTTGCAACAGGCAAAAAATCAATTTTTTTCAAGAACGAGTGGGCGAATGGCAATTCCGTTGCCATATTCGGCTTTTTGAGTCAATTTCAGCTGAAAATGAGTACCAACTCGATGGGTCAATTTTCAAAAGTAACTCACTCGGTTTGAAGATGGTTTGTTCGAAACGTGTCCTAGACCCATCGACATGGTACTCATTCTATGCTGAAATCGCCCCAACAAGCCAAATCTGCTGTCAG